ATAGTTCAGGGGAAATATTATTGAAAAAAAAAAATAGAATCTTATTTTAAATAAAAATAACAATGAAACAAGTAAAAAAATGATTTTTTTTAAAGAATATAAGCTCTTGAAACCAGAAAAAAAAAACATAATTTTAAGAATATAAGTTCTTGAAACAAGAAAAAAAGTTATTGTTTTAAGAATAAAAATTCTTAAAACAAGAAAAAAAGTTCTTATATTATGAATAAAAATTCTTAAAACAAGAAAAAAAATTCTTATATTAAGAAAAAAAATTCTTAAAACAAGAAAAAAAATTCTTATATTAAGAATAAAAATTCTTGAAACAAGAAAAAAAGTTCTTATTTTAAGAATAAAAATTCTTGAAACAAGAAAAAATATTCTTATGTGGCGGACAAGTCATTTTTTTCTTGTTTTAAGACTTTTTTTGCTTAAAACAAGAATCTTGGATTTGGCTGTGTAAAGGGCATCGTACTCACAAAGGATAAATTAAAGAACCTTACTAGTGAACAATTTCCTAAATATATGATTGCTCCTCCGCAAATATGTTATTTGAAAAACATCTTATTCTAAATAGTATAATATATTAAAACACTGTATACCCGAACTTTGCATATTTTTTTTAATTGAAAAGTGTTAGTTGCAATTGTAATTTGGAAAAAGTTACCTGAGTTTGCAACAACTTGATTAAATAGATGCGTAATCTGCAAAAAAAACATGTTAAAGATAGCATAAAATCTTGTTAGGATGTTTATTGTTGTTGCGACAATTTTGATCTTTTTTCTTTTTTAATATTATTAAGTAATAGTTTTTAATATCTAAAATTTACCCAATATTTTTGTGTACTATAACAATATATTGTTCTTATATTACATACTTTGTTGTTTATTCTTATCCGTTGTCAGTACCGTAGCTTGAAGATCGGAGTCTTGCCCACCCCCCTCCCTCCTCCATATAAAAGACCAAAAATTTACAACTTCAAAATAAGGTGTTATTTTAGGCATTTATTTTTTTTTTTTTACAAAAACAAATGTTTTTTTTTTAATTCTTTTTTTATTTAAAATATCTAAAAAGTATGTTTGCGAAAAATCGAAAAAATGAAGATTATTTATAGTTGTACCATCTAAAATGAAATATGTCCTCCTTTGTCCTCCTTTTGGTTTTTCTATGTCCTCCTTTGGGCGACCGCGCATCTGGCAACCCGAGTTGTGTATAAAAATTGTTGGTTAATATTAAAATATATTAGGCGCTAAAAATTGATATGCCTAGTCAGTCAGTCAGTCAAAAATTGATATGCCTTAGTCAGTTAAACGCAACAAACAAAAAATTAAATTCACGACAAAGTTTTAACATCATAAGATTTATTCAACATTATTAAAAAAATTGAACTAGAGCGGAATCGTGAGGAAACAAATGAAGCTTTGTTGGTTGATGAACTCATGTCCTTCTGTAAGCCTTTTGTAAAAACTTTACTTATTAAATTTTAATGCGTTTTGAAGAATTTATGGTTTAGGGATAGTTTATATACAGTGAATCTTGTTAATTTTAAAGTTTTTTGAGAAATTAAAATTTAAGTTTAAAAAATACTTATGTTTAAAACAATGGAATTCCTCTGTTTATATAAATAAAAACCACTAACTTAATAAAGTTTTGTGTACTTTTAATAGATATAATTTAATTATTAGTTAATAAATGCAAAATCACTAATTTATTTTGATCTAAGTAACATATTTTAGCCATGTTTAAATTTTATTTTTAAATTTAGCTGAAAAAGATCCTGAAGCTATGATATTTGTTCAAGTTGATCTAGATAGTGTTCTGCAACACCTTATTTCATAGGTGGAAACATGAAATAAATTTTCGAAATGTTTCCTGAAGTCCTAATGATTGATTGCACATAATGCACAAACAAATTAAGAGTGCCTTTATTTACTTTGTTGGTTGAGGATGAAAATGGAACAAAGTGGAAGCACAACCAATGTCCATGCTTAATTGGACAGATTTTTCTAAATCTGTTTTATCATCTAGTCTAAATTCGAATGAACAACCCCAAAATAAAAAAAGTGTTAATACTTCAGATAAAACTTCCCTAGGTGACTTTAATTGTGATAGAAATATTTTAACCCAATTACAGACAAAATTAAGCTCATCAGAAAGAACAGTGAAATCTACAAATAAAGAAATTAACAATATATCCTTCAAATTTATTGAAAAAATTATTGAAACAAAACCTTACTCAGTTATATCTACAAATTATTTATCAGATGACAAAGTCAACTCTAAAGATCTATCTTTACCAGCTTGCCTAAATTCTTTCCAGTTGTTGGCAATGTAAAAATTAAAAAACCAAGACTAAAAAGGACAAGAGAATTATTGATAATCCTTATCATCAATTTTGTAAGCGAATTTTATTTTAAAACTACTGATAACGAGTTAAAGTTAAACTCACTTAACATGAATAAAATATGTATAATTTTCTACGTGAGTTTTGTTTTGCAGATTC